AGAGTCAGAGCCACTCATCCCCGAACTACACCTGCCCTGGGCGTCCATGGGCCACAGGGTTGAGACTCTTGGAATCCCAGACCTGGAAGAGTTGATGTACTTATCTACCCCAACCTTTCACTTCCTTAAGGAAAGTGAGGCCCAGAATCCAGGGTTCCCCAGTGCTGATCTGACATCCTTCCCTCCCGTGAGCTCACATCTCAGGCTTACCTGCCATTCCCTCCCCTTCTACTATAAAGGCCCTCAGCCTTGGCTCTCTCCCCGACTAAGGACTCACTTTTCCATTAGGGAAAAAAGCCCAGACACCCAGGGCTCCCTGAAACAGCTGCTGGCACTGTTGCAGAGCCATGCGGTGGCCTCCTCTACCCCTGCCAGAGAGCAAAGGGTCACACTTGGGTCACACTTGAACTTGCAGTGCTCACTGGGCACTGGCTTGTGGTGAGGAGACCTCTGATTTGTTTTGCCTTCTGACTTCGCCCACATTTCAGAGTTGTGACTACAAAGAGGGTGGCTTGTTTCAGCCCCTGGCAGGGCCTGGCTGGGCCAGGCCTGGAGCTGTTTTTCGTAACTCGTGTTGCTGGAAAAATGGCTCAACAATAACTTGTGTTTGCTTATTACTGACGGGATCAAAGTCCTTTACAGACTTCTTGAAATCTAGAGGGACCAGGTGGCTTCCAGCTGGGCAGAGCGGTGACTTGTTTGAAGTCACAAAGCAATGTGGTGTCAACATTAGGAAAGAAAGTCCATTTTCTCTCCCTTACTCTGGTTCTCAATCCCCTGGTTGGCCCACTTTTTTTTTTTTTTTGAGAGATTTTCATTGTAGGGCGCGTGCGCTCACCAGACAGAGAGAGACATAGAGACAAAAAGCGAGAAATCACCCCCCAGGGGGGGATGGTCACGCCGCAATCCCTTCTCCTCCATTCTCCTCTCGGGATCTTGGGCACGCACGCACACGCGCCTGGCGTGAGTTTTAAGCCACCGGGTCTGGGACACGAACCGCGGTCGCCTATGTGGGAGTCCAGCGACATAGCCATTACGCTAACTGCTGGTTCCTGGCCCACATTTTTCATTTCAGCAAAGACACAGATGACACGGCACAAGCCCAGCTTTCTCCAAGAGGAGCAAAGCAGAGGGAGGATGCTAAGTACGAGCTACAACTCGGCAAGCCTAAGCATTCAGGTGTGCACCTGAGCGCTGCCATCACTGCTGAGCGACCTCGGGCAAGTGACTTACCATCTCTGAATCCTGGCTCCCTCACTTGTACCTTAAGAACAGATTGTAATAAAGCATAAAACTTCCTTCCTCAACATGTGGCCCATCTGTATCCCAGGGAGTTAACCAGGAAGACATTCTGAAGATGCCTCCAGGTGACTCTGCACTTACAGTGAGGGGCCTACCTGGGCTGTCTAGTGCTTCTGGGCGGCTGTGAGAGGTCAGCCGTGGGGCAGCTGCCAGCTGTGAAGTTCTTGTTTTGTTTTAGGTTTTGCCATAGGCCGCTGGCCAGTGACAGAGTGAAAAATCACCCCCTAGGGAGGATGGCCACGGTGCAATCCCTTCTCTCAGGATTTTGGGCACACACGCAGGCACACACACCAAGCGTGATTTTCAAGCCACCAGTCCAGGACTCGAATGTGGTCACCCATGTGGAAGTCTAGCGCCTTAACCACCATCCTGCATGCTGGCCCCCAGCTATGAAGTTTTTAAAGTCAGAGGAACCCTTAAAACGCACCTATAAATTTACACTCCCTTTCACCTATTAACACCTTCCTGATGCAGGGCTCACTGCCTTGGCAGGGAAACCTGATAAGAGTGTGAAGCTAGAAGGCATCTTTCTGGCTCCTCTGACACCTCAGCAACCCCCAGTGTGCTGGCTTCCCAGAGCTCAGTCCTGCCCACGGGGCTGGGAAGACCAGCAGGCCCATGGTCCAGGGACCCACGGACACGCCAACAGAACAGAGACAGAAGGAGCAGCAAAGCTGGGGGCTCGGAACAAGGCTAAATTTGGGAGGATGACGATCGCACCCGTGTAACCCGTCTGCGGCATCCCAGGCAAACATTACATCGACAGCTCAAACATAATTATGGGTCTGAGGACCAGGTACGGTGACATGATAGGGTGTTGAGGAAGACGCCAAGATCCGGGTTCCTAGCCTGGCCCAAACTGGGTCTGGTCATATGTGCCTCTCAGTAACTGGTTCAGCCCGAGGCATTCGTTACTCAACCTGGCTGAGCCCCATGGTCTCCTCACCTGTGAGGGAGTCTACACAGCGTGGCTGTGAGGGTTAATGTGACAGATGTCAAGTATCCAGGCCAGAATGCAGAGATGGCATAAGCATTGCACCAACATGCATTTACCAAGCACCTACACGTGCCAAGGCCGAGGCACAGAAATTTCCCTCTCCACTGTATTTCAGTTTAGAAATCCAAATCTTTCATTGTGATTGGCTTTATAAATGTTCAGGTGGAAGAGAGAGTTTCAAGGGTTCAGAGTGAGTAACTCTGATTTTTATGTGCCTGTAAAAAGCCTGACGACACATGAAATTTTGGATTAATAAAAAAAGAGGGGGAGGCAGATTTCAGATTCAGTAAGGCAACACTTCCCAAGCTTTCACCTGTGTATAAATCACCTGAGGATCTGGAGTGAGCCCTTATAATTTGCATTTTGAAGAACTCCCAGTGAAGCTTTAGGTCCTGAGCCCTGCTTTTGAAGATTAAAGTTCTATGGAATGCCTTCAATTTCAGGGAATGAATCCAAGGAAAGTTTAACTTGTTTTATAAACAACATTCCAGGAGAACATCTGTGTAGTATATGACAGCACTCAGGCTAGCAAGATTTCTTAAAGACAGGTAAGACCAGGAAAGCAATTGGCATTCTTGAAGCTAGCCCCAGGCCTTTTTCAGATGAGTTTGTACTCTTAAATCACGATTTGCCTGGGCAGGAGAAAGTACCCTAGGGATCATAAAAGCAGCACACTGCAAAGTTCTCAAAAGCTGCACTGTGTAGCAAACAAAGCATCCTAGGATATTCCAAGTTCATTGCTACGTCATAGCCAAGCTAGCCTTCCGTAAAAGGCCTGTCTTGAATCAGTTTTACCTATTACCCCCTCTCTGTACATCATATCTGATGCTGTTTCTGTTGACAACCTTAATAAAAACTGCCTATCAAGCTGCCAGTTAAGGATTACTCAGAAATAGTAAGATGAATGTCACTGTCAGGTAAAGATGCATCTGATATGGACTCACTCACCTTAATGTGTATGTTGGGGTGGGAAGGATCAATAAAACACCTAAAAGGTTCATATTTATAGGACTAGAGATTAAGTTCTGGATATTCTTTGGCTCAGTAATACTAACATACAAGATCCTCCATATCCCTTGAAATATGTTTCTTGGAGACCGAGTGCAAGGTAACTTGATCTCCAGCTGCTTTCTGCAGGAATACATCTGCCTATCAGGAAGACTCAGGCCAGCCTCGCACACTGGCTTAGAATAACATGTATGTTTATTATAATTCCTCTCCTGACCCTGACTGGCTGGGCTTAGACTCAAACCGGGGAGTCATTACAAGCCAGGGAGTGATATCCAGCTGCCTAGAAACTGCTGAGTGTGCACCACTTGCCCAGAAACCAGGGATTCCCCTCCCACGGCTAGTCCGCTAATGGAAAGATTTGTGCCCTGACAAGAAATGCCAGAGCCAGACTGTCACCTGCATCTCGTGTCACTAATTCATCCATGCAATCATGGTTCTGCTCCGCAGCTGCACACCCCCGCCTGCAAACTATGTGCACTCCAAACACCACGGGTGGAGTACAGCCAAGCTTTCTCCCAGGTAGGAAGAACAGGCTAAGAGCAAACTTCTAGAATAGCCCCCTCTTGTTCTACTTTTGCCCATTGGGAGAGGAACAGGCCACCTTCATACTTAGACCAGAGCAAACCTGGGTTTCAAAAGTTTTTGAAAAGAAAAATCATTACAAAGATAGGCTGAAACAGAGAATGCCCTCCCTTCCCACCTTGATGCTTGTGGTATCCCAGAAGGGGAAACTGAGGCCTTAGGAAGTTAAAAGCCCAGCCAAGATGGGAGGTTATGCTATAACCAACTTCATAGGAAGCTTTAGCAAGTAACAATGGATGACGAGCCCAGGAAACAGCCAGCATTTCGGTACCTGATCCCATTCGGGTTCTCCCCTAATCTCCACACCAGCTGCCTCCTATGGTTTAATCCCCCCAGCCCTGTAAACACAGGGCAGCAAGCTCCCGCTATCCTGAACACAACGCAAAGGTCCACCACCTCGTGTTTTTGCTAAGATGCCTAATACCTGCGGATAACTTAAACTAGCAAGTACAAGGTTTTAACCAACTCAAGCAAATTCATCTTAGAATGATGAAAAAGAATAATTCTCCCAGCCTTATTTCCTCCCGCCCTGCAAGCCCAGAGCCTGGTTCAAGAGAAAGAAAGGACTAAATCACTTCTTAGGAAAGCAAAAAGAGTAGGCCAAATTTCCTGGGAAGATTGAGAGAAGGCAGGAATTTTTCCGGAGGGTCACGTTCTCGGGAGGGTAACGCGTGTCCACTACAAGTTTGGGTTAAGCGCACAGCTCAGCCCCCCCCCGGCCGGACCTACTGCTCTACCCTGCGCCCCAAGCAATCTTGCCCGAAGTGAGGAGAGCGCACCTCGGGGTCTGGCCCTGGCTCCAGGAAGTCCGTGTTCTCTTCCTAGTGCTGCGAGGTTTGGGTGCCGCTTTGTTTGGGTGGGCTCCTGCAACTCACAACTCCCCACCCACCGCCTGAGCGTGGTGCTTTTGCTCTAAGAGTGTTGGGATCGCGTACCCACGTGTGGCCGCGCACTGCCTGGAGGCTGTCCCTCTTCCGCGTGTCCTCGCGGTCTAGAATTCCAGGCAAGGGCCCAGGCTCCAGCAGGGTGCGGGAAGGTGGGGAGCTACTGGTGCCCCTAGCACAGAGCCGGCCGGAGGCCGGGCGCTAGTCGCGTCCTGCATACTCACCGGGACCTCTGCAGCTGCTCCAAGGCGCTGGTGCTGCCGCCCGGGCCCGGTTGCTCCAGGGGGCAGTAGTTCTGTGAAGTCTGCCTGGAGAAAGCGATGGGCAGGATTCCCTGAGTGAACGAGTTGAGGCGGCCCCGACTGCCGACCCCCGCCCCCGGGGGTCCCGGAGCCCAAGAAGGCGGCCGCCGGCACGTGTACACTGGTAAAGGCATCGTCCTCCTCCAACTCCTCCTGCCCGGCGCCTCGGTGCCCGTCAGACAGCTGCGGCTGAGCACAGGCGGCGAAAA